GAGGAGGGGAGGTATAGCACACTATATATTTCAGGGTGGATATGGGGTGTGGAGGCGCGAGCAAAAGAGAGAGAGAGAGTTACGTCACAATCGTTAGCTGAATTCTCTTCTATACATGTGCGAGAGAATCGATGAAAGAGTGCAAGATCTGGAAGGTCTTTTTGTATAAAAAAAAAAAAATTGGTTCAGTCAAGCGAAAAGCTGCCTTGACCATGAGATGTGACTTAAATTTTTTCTTATTTCGATCTCCCTTTATAGGAAAAAAAAACCAACGAATATATACTGCGTTAGTTGATATTTAAGAATGTAATAATATTCTTAAAGGTAAAATACAATATATTTCAAAAGTAAAAAAAAAATGTTATACACTAAAAATTATATTGAAACTAAGTATTATTTTATAGAAATATTATTCTATTATTATTAATTATTATTATTTATTATTATCTAGATTTATTATTATTATATTGTTTAAATTTTATTTATTATGTATTTTTAAACTTTCGCGCCCATTTGCTAAAAATCTTAAAGCTTTGGTTCTCAAACGACCCATTAGTGGCGCGGCAATCGCGTATATTTTCACAGTGCCTCGTCATTCTTATTTTCGTGTTGACCATGGTATTAACATTGACACTATGCGTTATATTATATTTTCTAATTATGTTATAACATTAGACGAAAATTGATATGAAATTAAAAAATTCTATTAAATTTGTTGTCAATCTAAAAAATTGGTATTTAATAGCCTGGCGCAATTTGGGCAAATAAATATCTAACGAAATAACGAAAAGCTTCTATAAATAAATGAAACAAAATCGACCATTTTTCGAAAAATGGAAAATTTATTTTGACCTAGCTGAAAATCCTTTTGTTCTTGCGATAATATTAAAAATTTTATTATAGAAAAAAGCTATTTTAACTGTTAATAATATTTTTTCTTCTGTAATTTTTTTTTCAAAATAATTGATAAAAATTAATTTTGATTATAAAACATTATAACTTAATATAAACTTCAATTTTTTTTATTTTCTAAACATTTTCTTATGCAAAAGTATGTTACTTTGGAAAATTTATTTAATTTGTTGATGTTATTTTTAGTTTTATTTTATTTATCTTCTGTTTATTTGTAATGATAATAAAAGTTTTACTGTTAGCTTTTATAGTTATTTTTTGTTAAAGTGTTTCGTACAAGTATCTAGCAAGGATGAAAAGGTTTCCAATTTTCATACGTTTTCTTCAACTACCTATAAATATATCACCTGGGAATAGGTTTTTTTTCATTTAGAATATAATCACGAAATAAGTAATCAACGATTTCAACTATATATGTAGATATATAAAAATAGAGTGACTAAATTGAAATTCTAAATATAAATAAAGGGAGAAATAATAAAAATTCATTAATTCTTATATTTTGGTATGGTCTGACTAAGATTGACAATAAACAATTTTCTTTTCATTTCTTTGAAATAGTTTTAATAAATTTCTATTTTGTAAACATTGAAACGTAATGGAAAAATTTTTTACTGAAACTATTTTTTTTCTTCATTAAAATTAATTTTTCTATTTGTTTTTTAACACGAAATGTCAAGTTCACTTTCTCCCGACGAGGGTAATTTGTACTCGATAGCAGTGCGGTGAGAATATTGCTCCGGAAATCACGTCCCAGTGCTAAATGCCTTTTTCAGCGCGAATACAAATGTCCTTATCATGATTTGAAATTTGAATTGGAGCGAAAGTTCAGTCATCCGACCAGTTCCAAATGCAGTTTGCATGACTGCGTGCGTCGTATTGACTTTTTCATTGAATTGCTGTAGCTGTTAACAGTCATTCAAGCGAAGGTTCCTGGTACTCTTTTTTTTTTTTTTTTTTATTCTTTTTTACACTGGAATCACTGCGATTTTATCGCAACACAAACGTTAAAAGTTTGGAAGGAAGGGGGAAGGTGTGGGTTATCGGACTCAATTCGTTGTGCTTTGCGCGGTTCATAAGGTTTTGGTTCTTGGATGTATCATATCTTGATGTTTTGAAACATTTTTTTTTTCGAGTGTACACACCAATAAAGACAAAAATATGAAAATTGAATTTATTTTTCATTGAAAAAGGTAATTGAATCATTGATTTTATAAGCTATACAAGTGTGTTTTAATTAAAAAAAAAGGAATAAAAGATCATTTTATAAATATTTTTTCTTCCACATAGAGATGAAAAAAATTTTTGAATTAAAAACTAAAAAACTCGTTTTTATCAAAATTTTTTCATTTTTAAAAATCCAATAAATTTCGCTATATTATAAAATAAATAAAAACATCCATAAAGGAATGTGAAAATATTTTTTTAATTATATGGGCAAAAAATCTTATTTTTTAAACAAATGAAAAACAGAAAAAATATAAGTTAAACATGATATTTCAAATATTTTTTTATTTAAATTTTCAATTTAAAATGTTAATTATTTTACCCACTACTTTTTTTTCTCTCTAAATATATGATATTCGGTAGATACATAATAAAACTGATAAACTTACAAAACAAATTTTTTTCTCAATATCATTTTTTTCGCATGAAAGTGACCTTTTAATATACGAAAATTCAAATATGACAATTTTCGATCTCCCTTTGTTTCATCATGCATAAAGATTGGGTTATACTGTACTCACAAAGTCCTAGCAGCGTGTATAACAAAGTGGAAAATTAAATTTACCCATGTCAATGCTTTAATATTGATAATCGTGCAAGAAAACAAAACTATTAAATTTATTTTATTTGTTATTTGCATTTTTCTCTATACATTTAATATGTACTTGTGTACAATTAAAAGTTTATATGGGTCAGAATTTTTCAAGCGGATCATCTAAAATTTTCAGAAAGTAATTTATTTTTAATGTTAAATCTTTTTTTTTAATTTATACTGTAATCAAAAAAAGTTTCTGAAAATATTAGACAAAATAATTTTTTGATAAAGTTACAAACAATGGGAATTTTTTAGCTGTATTAAATGAAAAAAAATTTCTAAATCCAGTTGATAAATATTATTTATTTTTAAACTTTCGCGCCTAATTTTGAAAAGTCCAAAGGTTTTAGTTATCGAACGACTCACTAGTGGCGCTGCATGGGCGTATATTTTCATAGCGTTCGACATTCTTATTTTGGTGTTGACCATGGTATTGACATTTAATTATGTTAACATTAGACAAATTAAAATAAAATTAAAAAATTCTATTAAATTTGGTGTCAATATAAAAATTGATATTTAATAGCCTGGCGCAATTAAGGCACATAAATATCTAACCACATAACGATAAATTTCTATAATAACTGAAAAAAATCACTGAACGAAACTTATAATTTCTGAAATAGACTAATATTGAAAAACGAACCAAAAATATAAAAAAAATTCTGAATGTTGAATATATTTATTCAATGTTTAAGACAAACGTTGTTTATATATTTGTTTTAGGTATAGAATGTAATATAACCTAAAAAAAGTTAACATCACTGAAGTTGACTCCCAAATATGACGACTACTATCACCGAAACGAATGAATTTAAATATTAATCGCCCATTATTTTCAATTTCAAGTAAGATTATTAATTATTAAATTATTACATAATATTAAATAATATTTCATTAATTAACTTTATTCCAAATGACAGTCGTTTTTTTCTCAACAGATTTATACTTAGAAATCTATAAGGAGTATAGAAGAATTTTTAAAGCATAGGAATGAAAAGAACAATTTTTTTATGAAAATTTTATAAGTAATTAATTTAAAAAACTGTTGAAAATAAAAATAATTTTTGAATACTACGTTCTAAAATGAGAAAAATCTATTTTTTCGTTTTTAAATTTCTCAACTGGATCTCGAGGAATTTTTTTTTTTTTATTTAAAACGGTTAATAATTTCAATTGTTTATAACTTTAACAAACAATTTTCTCTGACCCAAATATATATATATGCTTCATAATTAACAAACTTTTGAAAGAAATAAGACTATTTTTTTCGAATAAAATCTCGGATATTTCATTTTGTCACTTCGTCGTATGAAAAGGTGAGATAAAATTTAATTTTTTTCAAATTCTATTGAATCATATCACAATAAGACAGAATTCAAAGCTTTAGAAACTATTTTTATAGCAAAATAAACGACATATTGCAAAAAAAAAAAAAAAATTCATATAAATATAAGAAAAAAAGATTTTTCTGGCAAAATATATATTTCTTTAATTAAAATAAATTATTATAAACTACTTTCATTAAAATAAAAAATTAATTTTAATAGTCCTCTATAAAATAAAACATATTTTATATATAGATATAAAATGAAATATATATATATATATATATATATTAAAAAATGGTTCTTGCGTAAAAATAAAAGAAAAATATGGCAATCAAACTTTTGCCAGTAAATCATTCATGGAAAAATGAATGTGTGACGGTTTCATTTACATTGACTATATATTCCCTATAGTCTGGTCATATACATTTCTTCCCTTTCGATTTGTGTAATCGGTTCGTGCAAACAAAGTGAAGGAAATAACATTTACGCTTACGGGCACATTCTGTGCAAATAAAATCCTTGGGCAAAGAGCCAGGAAAAAATTACATACGCATCTTTCAACTTATCCAATATTATGTGAGAGAGAGAGAAAGAGTTCACGTGAAATTCATTCCAATTTTGTACGATTATTTGAAGAACGTTATTTAAAATGAAAAAAGTGCAAATTAACGAAATAAAAGGGGAAAAAAATTTTTGATTCCATTGCAGAAAATTCAAATACTAATAATTAATAATTAATAATTAATAATTAATTACTTTATTATTATACTTATTTATTAAATTATAAAGTAAAAAATTTAATTTAATTCTATTTTTTTTTATTTTCTATTTTATTTTAAAATTAAAATTTATTAATTACAATTTATGATAAGTTATGGAAATAAATGTAATGAATTCAAAGAACATATGTATGCAAACAAAATTTTCTGTTTTAGGAAAATAAACCTACTGCTACTGATCCTTATGATGAAGAGGAGAAGGAAATGAGGTAAGTTGAATAAACAGAAGGGCGTGTTCGTTTAAAGATAATTTTATACATTAAGTGAAGAATTTCTAAATTAACATATAAATCTAATTAATTATCATAAAAGAAATGTGATTTCATTACTTTTCATTTATTAATTATTGTCGTTGACAGTACAAATTATAAAATTTTTTTTTCTTTTTGAACATGCTAATCTATTATTTTTCTTTTCTAACATTTTACATATACCATATATTATTATAACTAACAATATCTTGAAATAGTCTCTCTTAAAAATTCTTTCACAGAGAGGTTACTTTTCTTTTAGCGCATAATATTTTACATTGAATGTCTACTTTGAATTTATGTGACTCAATGTCATCATATCGTGTATAATGGGATCGTTGAAGTATAACGTATACAATGAAAACTTTTTTTCACATCCATTCTTTTTATTAAGATAAGTTCAATATACACGTTTTTTAATGTGTGTATTTTATTATTTTACATTGTAAATTTTTTTTTGCAAATACATTTTTTTGTAAGATTTCTTTTTTTTTGTAAAAACAAGTATAAATTTAACATTCTCGAAATTCGTTTAATATATATTGATTTCAGTAGTAAATGTACATTTTTGTCAGACAAAATGCCTGCAATTTTGGCAACAGTACAAAAATTGAGATTTCGGTCACAGTTTATATAAATTCGTATAATAATTTCAGTATCAATTGTGAAAAAATAGTAAAGGTTTGAAAAATATTTTTGAATTTTTGAAATTGGATACCTAATGTGATGTGAAATTAGGCACTAGATAATAAAATGTTAGTATTTATTTATTATTTATTTTTAAACTTTCGCGCCCATTTTTTAAAATTCCAAAAGGCTTTAGTTAAGGAATGACTCACTAGTGGCGTGACAATCGCGTAAATTTTTATAGCGTCTTGTCATTCTTATTTTCGTGTTAACCATGGTATTAATTGTAGCACTTAGTTATATTTTTTCACAGTTCTGACTGTTCTAATAATTATAATATATTTAGTGTCAATATGAAAATTGGTATTTAATAGCCTGGCGCAATTTGGGCATATAAATATCTAACCAAAAAACAGAATATCAGTGGTAAAAGTAGGTTACAGACACGACATATAAATCTATTTAATTGTGGTGTAAAAAAATCAAAATTGCTATCAGATAAAATTTTTGTCGAATTCCTGATAATTTTACGAAGCTGAAGTACGCAACGTTTATGATAAACGATTTTTAAAGAAATAATTTTTTATTTTAAAAAATTCTATAATTTTTTGCCTAAAAAATATTTTTTTATAATTTATTGATTAATGAAAACTACAAGAAATATTTTTTAATCAAAAAATTATAGAATTTTTCATTTAAAAAAATTATTTCTTTAAAAATCGTTTATCATAAACGTTGCGTACTTCAGCTTCGTACACGGAGAGAAAAATCTGCCTTTTATAGTATAGAAAGGTTTACATTTAATGCACAGAAATTTTCTATGCTATATAGACATGAAATTTGAGTAATTATAGTACAATCGTATGTCTTTTTAGCATGAAACTTGTCTATGCTAATAAAGTTTGTCATATAGCCTCTTATTACATACTTATTATACTTTTAATCCAACGGCGCCATGCGAAGATCGCACATAACATCATCCTACTATGTTTGCATAAGTTCTATGCTTTTTCGGGGATAGACTCTTGCAACTGGCGATTAGGGCAGTTCCAATTCAGTAAAGGTGGGCGTGGCCTAATCGCCAGTTGCAAGAGTCTATCCCCGAAAAAGCATAGAACTTATGCAAACATAGTAGGATGATGTTATGTGCGATCTTCGCATGGCGTTGTTGCTATTAAACTACATGTTTTGTACTATAGAAGCATATATACTATGCTTTTTTAGTACGGACAAATACTATCCTAAAAATTCTCAAATCTTTGCTCTATTAGTATGAAAAGTTTAAAGAAAAATAGCAGCAATCTATTTCATACTATAAAAGGCAGATTTTTCTCTCCGTGTATAATTTTTTCTTAATTTTAGTATCTTTAGTAACTTTTAGGAAGTTTTTGAAAAATTTGATGTTATTAATTGAAAAGTTTCACTTGGAAGTCAGAAGTTCAAAAAAATTATAGTCTAAATAAAAAAATTATAAGTTAAAAAAAATTGTAGACAATAGATAAAATTTTTTTTTACTTGTAATGTAATTAATAAATTATAAATATGTATTGTACTAATTGTAAGAAGACATAATGTTGTGTATTTGAAAAAAAATCTCTTTTGATGCGTTTAGGAAAAATTTAATATATGTACATATACGTAAAATTTCATTTAACCCTCACGCCACTTCTCCCTTTGTATATGTAAGAAATCAGAAGCAAATAAGGAATCCCTTCGCCCTCTTGCTAGACGCTTTTGGAATACTTGAATAGCATCACTGTATATATTATCTTGAGAAATATTTAATATCCCAGAACAACATGAAATTGTGGGACAAAGAAAGGATTTGAAATTTTTCTAACCCATACATATATAAGGGAAATTTTTTTTTAAAAATATTTCCAACATGTGAATAATGTTAAATTTTTTCTAATTTAAAATATTTTTTGTTATACACATTTTTGTTCAATGATTGAAAGCATCACTTCTTGAGAATGCTGTTTATACATTTAAGCGATTCATCATTTTTATCACATCAGTTATATTGGCATAAAAAATCTCAACCAAGTATGACTGGAGTATTTATTATATTTGGAGAGATTTGAATATTTTGTCAGATGTCAGCCTCGCGATTGATAAATAACTTTTAGGATATTTTATAAACACATAAAAAATTTTACATTTGTTTTTATTTTTAAATATATTGGTTCATATCTACTGCACATTTATTTTGAAAAATTGAAAAAAATGTGTCAAATTTTTATTTTTCTTTTTTTATTGATTAAGAGAAAATAATGTAAAACACAAATTACAAAATAAGTGCCCTCTATTGTTTTATACATTCTTTTGAAAAATATTGGATAAAAAGTTAGGGATTTTTTTTTCTGTGAGAGAAAGTTAAGTTTACTTTCTGCTTGTTCGTGCTAAAAGAAAGCTTTATACCTTTCAACTTTCGACATTAAAATAGAAACTTCTTCTTTTTTTTTTTCTCATGAAAATGCTCCCCTTTTGCTTTGTTGAAAGTTGCCCTTCATATTGAAGTAGGTACGGAGTCTCCTGAATCTATCCAGTGCTTATGTAAAACGCACGCGAAGTTCAAATATATTCTATACTAGTCGAGTTTCTCCTCTTCTCTCTATAGCGTTTTAAATAGGCACTAGATATATAGAGTCAATGTTGGTTGATTCTAAAACTCGACGATTTAAATCGCAATTTCAGGCGTAGATTTTGCTTTGAACTTCACATACCTAATTATAATAATAAATAAACCTAATATATATTCCTTTTTGTATCAATGTAATTTCAAATCAAAATAAATACTGTGTCACTTTTGATTTAGTTTCTTTTATTGTTTTAATAAATTTTGTTAGCGTTAAAAATATACATATATAGTACTTGAGAATAATTTTGAAAAATCTCACAGGCATGGAGAATCGAACCCAGGACCCTTGGGACGTGAGCCGTGTACTCTGATCACACAACCACGTTAACTTTCAAATCTTTTGCCTATTACTTCAATTAAATTTCACTAACTTACGGATATTCTATAATTAAAAGGAATAATTGAGAAAAAAAACACTCAATCAAATATTTTAAATATGAGAATAAATATATTTGGTAATATTTCACTGCAATTTATTTTTAAATTCAGTCTACTTCAGAATTAAAATAAATTTTTTTTTTTAAATGTAGAATATTATTTTTAATATAATAATATTTTTAAATAGGTGACGAAATATTTATTCACTTTTTTAGAATATTTTTTCTTGGTACACAATAATTTTCGTTGTTTTTTCTTTTAAATTTAAAAGTTTTAGAGATTTAACCATATATATATATATGTGTATATTTATATATTAAACAGAGCGTTATAATAATGATACATTTTAGCTGGCTAGAATTCAGTAAAATCTATCGTCCAAATGCAAAAAGTAAACTTCACGAAAGCTAGAAGAGCTGTATATATATTGAAGCCACAATAGCTCTTGTTTTCTCATAGCTTGCCTCCCTTGCAGCATTAAGAGCAATATTTCGCTTTTTCTGTCTCAAGCTCACTTGATATATCTCTATAAAAAGGATGATTTTCCGTTTTTATGCTGCTTGCTGTGTTTTTTTATCAAACTAATCTGTACAATCAATTTATTTATTTATAGTAAATGCTTTATTTCATGCACTGATAAATTCAAAATATCAACGAACTCAAAAATCGTATTAAAAAAAATCATTTATAAATTATTTACTAATTTTTCTGTGTATGTAAATAATTCTATATTTTAACTGTATAATTGTATAATTATATAATATTGAATTAAAATTTGTGTTGAGAGTTCAGATTTTATTTAAAAAAAAAAAAAAAAATTATTTTTTTCTCCTAATTATTTGAAACAATATGAAAACGTAAATGTTGAAAATTTTGCCGAGCATTAAAGTCTAACTCTAAATATCTTTTCAATACGAGAGTAAATTTCTATTTACACTGTAACAATGATCAAGTAAATGAAGCGCAGAAAGTGCCGGAATTTTGCAGCGTATATATAATATATATATATATATATATATTCGTCGAAACAGCATTATCAATGCAAGTGGGGCTGAAATTCCCGGATTTCTCGCTTGATTATACAGATTTTGTGAACAAAATGTATCGCATGCCGGACCAAAACCGCCTATTACTACTGAACACACACAAGCGGATTACCTTACAATTAGTACACTACTCAAATTTGCAATACCAAGGAGCATTTGTGTAATAATGATCAATTGTTTCATATTTCTCGATTATTGAAACAAAAAACAAATATCTCATAAAATTTTCATATTATTAATATTATAAATCAATAAAAATTGCAGAA